AAGTTAGTTCACAATGAAAGTAAATGCCCATATTGGGCGAATTCGTGTATCATTGGCGTCATAGGAACATTCCGGGGTCTTCGTTTTCCAGGGTCTTCGTTTTCCATGGTCTTCGTTTTCCATACACCCGACACTACACTTGGCAGTTGAAGTGTTTGCAAATACAGTGTATTTATTTTTGGGCCTTTGTGTTTGTAAACAAGCATGCCGCGAGTTTTGGAGTCTCCTGGAGGCAGCTCGTACATACTGGCGAAAGGGCGTACCCGTTACTGGTTGAGGTAACCCCTAATAGCTTGACAGTTTCACCAGAGCGTGCCGTCCCTTTCCAATCGCTCGCATTCCAATGGCAGCTTTTCTATTTATTTCGAAAACTGCTCCCTTTTTTCGGGATGACGGGAAGCTAGGCTGGCTCAGTTTCGATCGAATACAACCTCCTTGCGTGCAAAGAAATTCAAACTGACTGCCTAGACCGTGACGCCTGCGCTCCACTATTGAGATATTGTCTACTTTGCAAAATTGACAAATCTCTTTTTCTAGGGCGCCATTCAACAGTGACATGTCAACGAGTCGAATCTCGCCGTCTTCAAACGATCGGCCGTGACATTCACTCTCACTTTCTTCTTCTACGTCATAAGGTAACAATATTTTCCTGCGAGATACAGACATCTCTCGAACGTTTTGAACAGGAGTATCACCAGTATCGGACTCTCAGTGTCACGGTAAAACTTTCTCCGTCCACTTCATGGCTGACACTGGTTTCGACGGGGAAATCCGTTCTGTACGAACCCAGCATCGTCTCTTTCAACATCTTTTTGACAGGAGTGATCATTCTTTTGACGCTTTTCTTCTTTCTTCCTCGCTTTCTTTTTCTTGGAAATTTTCGCGTGCTTACTATCTCGTTCATAATTAGTGAATGACAACTAAACTAAAGAATTACTGACAACCCCTCTCCTTCTTTGCATATTTTGCACATTAATGAAGGAAGCTGTCCTGTTTTTTAATTAGTGTGAATAGAATAATTGTAAAATGTGACCCAGTGATGTATGCCGGCATGTAGCATTTTTACCGTCGCAGTAACCTCCGGTCTTATACTTGTAGATGAATCTCTTCAAAATTTAATTGTAACCGGACTCACTGTTATCATCTATAAAAACTACCTAGATTTTAGATGATACTTTTATTTTTTACCAAGTCGTACGAAAAAGTCAACCCTTGCCTTGCGTGAAACACTGGCCCATATCCGATTTCAAGACGTCGGTCTGGGGGGGGGGGGGCTACTATCTCGTTCCCGTGCATTTTGTTCGCATGAGTACATTACATATAACAACCAAGTATTTATCAAACAGATTTATTACATGTAACATAATTTACGAATTTAGAAAAACCTAAGCATGCAAGTATGCCTACTTGGTGAAAACTCCTCTGAAAAATGGATTATATAAACCAGGTCCCAGCATATTCTTATCATTGATCAACCTTTACATGTAGTTTGTGGCTTGTTATCAGAATTTTCATGCAATGCATAGCCACCACAGATGACCGTATTTTATTGTTTGCAACCATATTTTGTAAAAGGGAGCCCCCTCCCAATGTAACTGCATTAACCCCGTTTTCAGACACCTTTCAATGGCAAAGCCAAGAAAAAATATTACAGAAATTTATTGTAAGTTTTTATTCTGTTAAGGTAGCGAGAAGGGAAATTTTCACTTTTTTCTTGATTTTTCAAAAATTGATAAAACGGTTACTTTAGACCTTGATACATCACCCCAGGTTTACAAAAGATCGAAATTGCGAAATAACGTTGCTCAAATTAGTGTTTTAAAACACTAGCAGAAAAGACTACAACTGCCGTTTCGTGGATATTTGCATAGTGTTTATCTTTGGAAGGAATTAAATGATAAAATCTTATCTGTATACTCTGTTGTTGACGATTCTGATATAACGGGTGATAAGCTTCCAGTTGCAAACAATGCGTGTTTATCTAACGTCCATTGTCAGCATTATTGTCAGTCGAGACTTCGTCGGAGAAACATGGTCATACAGTACTCATTTCGCCCAACCTTCCGCTTTTACATCGACCGCTTATCGCTTAATTTCCGACCACGCGGTCTTGTCCGACCGGAAACCGACCGCATTTTAATCGCGTT